ATGAGTTTGGTTATGTTCTTCCAAAATTTGGACAGATGTGTGCATTCCCACCAAATGTGTGACATGTTCCCAATTCCAGACCCACACCGCCAGCATTGGTATATAGTTATAGTTGGGCTAATCCGATGCAAGCGTGCTGGTGTGAGATGCCACCTATAGATACTTTTTTTCGCTAATTCTGTATGTTTGGAACAGAGAGTCAGGGCTTTGGGAGTCGTTATCATGTATTCCCATTCTGTTTCTGTGAAGCTCTCCTCCTCTTCGGCTGAATGCACATGCACGGCAGGAGCTGCGCGCGCATTCAGCCGGTCACATAGGAAAGCATTCATAATGCTTTCCTATGGACACTTGCGTCTTCTCACTGTGAAAATCACAGTGAGAAGCACGCAAACGCCTCTAGCGGCTGTCAATGAGACAGCCACTAGAGGATTAGGGGGAAGGCTTAACCCATTCATAAACATAGCAGTTTCTCTGAAACTGCTATGTTTATGAAAAAATGGGTTAACCCTAGCTGGACCAGGCACCCAGACCAATTCATTAAGCTGAAGTGGTCTGGGTGCCTATAGTGGTCCTTTAACTGGGTTGGTGTAATTAGGGGTTGTTTTTCAAGTTATATAGGGAATGAGGCTAGTTCATCGTTTATGTCTTGTGGACTCCATATTTTATGATTTCCCTGTGAAAGGATGTATGGGATTTTGGATTGTGTGTGTTTTTTGCACAGCATATTTGCTAACAATTTGCCAGCTTTTTTCCCCTGGATGTAGTGTTTCATTTTCAATTTTTGTAATGTGTAGGCAGTTTTCTGGAGTTGTAAATCATTAATTTGATTGGTTAAGAGCTGAATCTCTGCTAATTGGGGTTGTTGTCTGTTTTTATACTAGACAGACAAACAAATGTGTTAGTGTCTACCAGATATCCAAAATAGGGGATAACCCTGGTTAAACGTAAAAAAAAAAAAAAAAAAAAAAAAAAAGGTTGATCGAGGGTTCACACAAGTAGACCCAAAATCATTGTATGGATATCTTTATAAATGGTCTAAATAGAATTAAATAAAAAACATACTTTATTGATTACAAATATATAAAATGAGCAATCACTCAAAAGAAAAAATATATGTGAATCCTAGAGGGGAGCTATAGAAGCTCAAAAATTGTCACAAAAGCATATGGAGTAGTTCAGCGTCAAAAAACTAGAGGTAAGGTAAAAATAATGCCGGTGGCTAATCCTATCTGAGGGATGGATACAATAACCACCTTGAAATAAAAATTTTTTTATTATAACCCTAAAAAATGTGTCAAGCTGGCTGTGGCTACAGAGTAAATACACAGTTACAAAATGTGGAGAGATTTCCCAATCGTAGAGCTTGAGTATAATCCCGTCTAGTGTCTGACAGGGATAGCACTAGCATCAATACTACAGCTATTAACAAGGGACACTAAAATGTACACTTGACCAGGTGATAGTCCACTTAAAGTGCAAGGCTACTCAAGGTATAGAAGGAGAAGTAAAACACTAGCTTGCACTGACTAGAGTGAGTAGCACCTGAGGTAATCTATCTCTCCATCTTACAGTCTAACGGTGAAAAGAACACACGCCATCATTGAGTCAGACAATGTTGCAAAATGACTCAAATACTGGTATAGCTACTTAGTCTAAAGACTCCCTGGTAGTTACATAGCTGCCAAAAACTCCTAATAAGGACTGACAAGTAAACCCCCCCCCAAAAAATAAATAAAACAGTGCTAAACTAAACGTGCAGAGTAAATCATCTCGCCGAACGCGTTTCGGCGCTGCTAAAGCGCCTTTATCAAAGGCAAAGTGAACCGTACCGACTCCAATGTGTTCTTTTTATATAGGAGGGGAGGGGAGGACCGAGCTCAATGCTCCAATAGCCGCAGGTGTGCTGGTACGAAAGTCCGCGCCAAAATTAGAGACTTGGAACTCACCATTAAGCTTAGGGTACTCCCCTTCTATCCGTGCCGCCTCTCATGGATTACACCCACGGGGAAACTCCGCCTATTGTGGGCGTGTATGAGAGATTATGTTGCCGATCATTCAAACCTCCTAGTGTGTACTGTTTCCTTGGTAACATATCTGCCCCGAAACTAAAGAGCACCTCATAAACCACCAAGGAATCCCGGTTGCATTCCAAATACTATAGGAGTGCTTGGTTGTATTAAACATACTTAATTCCTTTATAATGTCTACTATAACAGTATATTTCGTTAAAGGGGTACTCCTTTGTGAATTGATCGGCTAACCACAAATCATTATCTTGCAGATCAAAAAACATAAAAAGGCACTCAGTAACTAATAACTAAACAGTAAGGAGTCTTTTCAGGTACCATGTATTACAGTATATTTATAATACTTTGCAACAATGTTCACTCAAGTATGTTCTTCAAAGCAAATAGTGATAACAATAAAATTAGGACCAAAGTATACTGGTCTAAATGTTAATAAATGTGGTAACGGTAAACCTTTCATTAAGCCCCTTAGGTGACATGGTGTCCAGTTTGTTTATCCAGAAGCATTCCCTTCTTCTCAAAATAAGATCCGAGTTCCCTCCTCTTTTGCCCATACAGACCCGTTCGATACCCGCAACCTTAATGCATCTCGGCGAGTCATTGTGATATTGCCTGATGTGTCTCGCTACTGGGGTGTCTCTATGGGACGTTACGGAATGGACGTGCTCCATTACCCGTCTTTTTAGAGGGCATATGGTCTTCCCTACGTATTTCATACCACAATTGCAGGTCAATAGGTATATGACACCTGCGGTATTGCAGTTGAAAAATTGTTTTATAGGGATATGAATTGTACCGGTAGAGTCGGACAAAATCTTAGATTCTTTAGCCATAAAACAACATGCGACACATCTGCCGCATTTGTATGTGCCGTGTACCGTGAGCCAACTTCCCTTGATTTTATTTAGAGGCAACAGATGGCTTGGAATGAGCATCTCTTTCAGATTCTTGCCTCTCCTGGCCGTAATAGACACTGAGGGGGAGATAACATTTTTTAGATGGGGGTCCTGGGTAAGAAGTGGCCAAAACCTGCCAAGGATTTTCTTTGCCACATCCCAACCCTCATCGTACTTGGCTATACACCGGATAATTTTTGTGGAGTTTTGTTTAGGAGTGTTATCCAAGAGTACTTCCCTATAATTTTGCAGTGCCCTCTGATAGGCTTGCTTTAAACATCTGCCCGGGTAGCATCTTTCTTTAAATTCATCCCTTAGATCTTTTGTTTTCACTTTAAAGTCCTCTATAGAGGAACAATTCCGCCTCAGCCTCAAGTTTTGGCCCACCGGAATACCACGCTTCAATGAAAACTTTCCCACTTCAACATATTGTTAGTAGACGTGGGTTTTCGAAATAGAGTGGTAATGATTTCACGGTTATCCGATATGGTGAGTGTATAATCCAGAAAATTCATTGAAGGATTTCCTATTTCTGAAGTGAATTTGAGGTTGAGGTCATTGATATTAAGAATTTTTACAAATTCCAAGAACAGTTCCCTTGTTCCAGTCCACACTATCAGCACGTCATCTATGTAACGTTTTCACAGAAAGACGTGTTCCCTATAGTGTGAGAGTGTCTCAGAGCCTACCACTTCCTTTTCCCACCATCCCAGGTGCAGGTTAGTGTAAGCCGGGGCTTAGGTGTCCCCATCGCTGTACCCTGCACCTGGTGGTAGAAAATATTCTGAAAAAGGAAGAAATTGTGTGTTAATATAAACCGTAATAGGTTTATAACAAAAGACGTATGTGGCAGATGTTCCACTCCTCTAGATGCCAAGAAAGAGCCTACATTCTTTATGCCAATCGTATGAGGTATAGAAGAGTATAGGGCTTCCACGTCAAGACTACATAATGTAGCTCCTTGTGGTACTCTTAGAGATCTCAGACACCTCAATGTGTGTCCTTGATGACTTTTAGATAAGACATTAAGTTCTCCACATATGGTCTTAGGATCTTATCTATGTAAATACTGCCCTTACTCGTAAAGTTATTGGAACCTGATACTATAGGGCTTGTTGTTAAGACTTCATACTGCTTATGCACTTTCGGAAGGCAATAGAAAGTGGACTGCTCCATATGCTTTTGTGACAATTTTTGAGTTTCTATAGCTCCCCTCTAGGATTCACATATATTTTTTCTTTTGAGTGATTGTTCATTTTGTATATTTGTAATCAATAAAGTATGTTTTTTATTTAATTCTATTTAGACTATTTATAAAGATATCCATACAATGATCTTGGGTCTACTTGAGTGAACCCTCGATCAACTTTTTTTTGTTTACTGTTTTTATACTAAGTTTGTGTTTTGTCTCTTAGATCTTTGAGAAGTGACATAAGTTTAGTGCGGCGTTATTTTTGTCCACGTGAATAGGCCACGTATGACTGGTTTATGTGCCGGTCACAAGGGCACCGGCGTGATATGGGGGTTTTAATTAGCATCAAAATAATGCTGTAGCTTTTGATTAATGTAGGATGTGAATTCTGGATCATTGAGGAGTGAGCTATTTAATCGCCAGGACCCGTTACCACTGTAAGCATAGGTGTCCGTGAGGGTGAGTGTGATAGGTGCATGATCTGACCAGAGCAGGTCTCCAATGGCACATTGATGCACTTGGGTTAGCCCTGCACTGGTTGTAAAAATAAAATCTATGCAAGAGTGCGTTTTATGGACACTGGAATAATATGAGGAGTCTTTATCCCTTGGATGTAATGTGTGCCATATATCATATAGTCCAAATGTTAGTAGGAGCTGATTGAGGGGATTGAACATATATATATTTTGATATAATACACATATATTAATATACATTTGTGCAAATATATAGATGCATAATACTCCCACAAATCACCAAATCACATAAATAAAGCAAAACTGTATATAATTTTTTTTAGATTCAATTTATTTTAAATAAAAAAAAAAAAAAACATAGACAGACACATGAATTTTTAATTAATAAATACTCACTGGCATACACAGGCGTGTAGTCACTGATGCCCATACATACTGACATATACTCATCAACAGACATTGGCACACAAACTAATGCTGCATCCCATACAAACACTGGCACACAATCACTAATGCATACACACTCCCTGACATACACACACATTGATCCACACTGACACATTGATCCATACTGACACGCACACACACACACACTGACACATTGATCCATACTGACACACACACACACACATTGATCCATACTGACACATTGATCCATACTGACACACACACACACATTGATCCATACTGACACATTGATCCATACTAACACACACACACACACACACATTGATCCATATTGACACACACACACATTGATCCATACTGACACATTGATCCATAATGACACACACACACACACACATACGTTGATCCATACTGACACACACACATTGATCCATACTGACACACACACACATTGATCCATAATGACACATTGATCCATACTGACACACACACACATTGATCCACACTGACACATTGATCCATACTGACACACACACACACATTGATCCATACTGACACATTGATCCATACTGACACACACACACATTGATCCATACTGACACATTGATCCATACTGACACACACACACACATTGATCCATACTGACACATTGATCCATCCTGAAACATTGATCCATACTGATACATTGATCCATACTGACACACACACACATTGATCCATACTGACACATTGATCCATACTGACACACACACACTACAAAAATACACACCAAACACACTCACAACTACACCCTCAAATATAAACACTCTAACAATCAGTACAATTAAAATGAAATGCATAGGTGCCTCTGCTCACTGAGCCTACCTTGCTCCTTCCCAGTAGCTTCCCTCCAGCTCTCTCACAGGGCTCCCTGCCTGACAGCACCTTACACACAGGAAGCAAGACTTCAGAAGACCCATGTGGGCTGCCCTGCTCTACCTGATTGCCAGGTCACATGCTTCCTGTGTGTGAAGGCTGTCAGGCAGGGACAGAGACTTCCATCCTCCCTGCACTCACTCCAGGCTCGCGAGCAGCATTGAAAGTTCTATTTACGGCACCTGCTGCTCGCGAGTGGATAAGGAAAACCTCTTCTAGAGGTAAGAGGAGACCTGTGCTCCCCAGTACCCCCAATGTGAGAGTGTGTACTGGGTGGGGAGAGGAAGGGCTGCTGCACTGTGCTGCCCCAAGTGCCACGGCCCACGGGAAATTTCCCGGTATCCCGGTGGGCCAGTCCGGCCCTGTCAATGGTGACTTGTTCTGGTCGTCGCGGTAGGCCTAGTGCTGCCAGTACTGACTTCGTTTCTGAGGGGTCGGTCACCTGTGTTGTTGCGCCCCTGTGGGTGATGATCAAGCTTCTGGGGAATGCCCAACGTTATGGGATTGAATGTTGGCGGAGAGTGGCAGTCAGGGACTTGAGGAGGCCCCTCCATAGCAGCGTGAGCCTAGATAGGTCCTGAGAGAATGATAGATTGGCTGTCTCGAAGGTGTGGTAAAATATTTTTTTTAAATATTAAAATCTCAAAAAATATATAAAATATATATCTATAAATAAATAATATATATATGTTTAACCCCTTAAGGACTGGACTGTTTTTGCGATGTTGTACATTTGCGACCAGGTCTCTTTTTACACTTTTCTGGTGTTTGTGTTTAACTGTAATTTTCTGCTCTCTCATTTACTGTTCCCATACAAATTATATATTTTTTTTTCAGGACAAAAGGGGCTTTCTTTACATAATCTCATGTATTTTAATAAAAAAAAAAAAAATATGATGAAAAATTGAAAAAATACATGTTTTTTTGACTTTTACTTAAAAAATCTTTTACTCATCTACAAAAGCGAATGAAAAAAACTGCTAAATATATTCAAAATGTTGTCCTGAGTTTAAAAATACCCAGTGTTTACGTGCTTTTTTGCTTTGTTTTGCAAGTTATAGGGCTATAGGTACAAGTAGGATATGGCGGTTTCAAAACAAACATTTTTTAAATGTATCAATAATGACATTGTAACACGATTATCTGTCATAAATCTCTGGAAAACACTCCACATGTATTTTTTTTTTTTTTTAAAGTAGACAACCCAGGGTATTCATCTAAGTATATTTTGACACTTTCTATACTTTATTGTGTTCCTCTGAATTGACCAACTACTTCTTTCCCCTTTAGGGTATGTCCAATGTGAAGTGTTGTTATATCCTTTCTTTAACCTATTTTCCTGGCTAAGTTTTAGGTCATATTAATTGATGGGCCTGCATGCTACCTCCTGCAGCCACACACACATTGTTACACATTGTAGAATCATTTTTATAAATGCAAAGGCATCATACATAATTTCAAGTACACAGCAGGTGGGCCTAATGTCATACAAGATGGAAACATCTAAGCAAGCTGTAAGCATGTTAAAACAATGCAATTTCCACTACTACGGCTATAAACATTGGCAGGGTTTACTGCTCCAGTCATTCAGAAGATTCTCTGGATATGATGTATTGACACTCATGTACTTTCTCTCTATACATTTCCCATACCCTATTCCTTATCTTTGTGTCTCTCCTTATGAATACCATGTGCAATAACAAAGATTACGGTTTGAAGTTTTGATATGATGATCGGCTTAGCTGTCTTTTTATTTTTGCTGTACTAACATTCAGCTCCAGCAGTCTATTAAGTAAGTTATATTTTTTGGTTTTCTAGGCCTAACCTATAGAAGGTTTTCCATGTTCTGCAAACATTTGATTTTCAATATTTTTGTTATATTATTATTCTTTAAACTATTTTGCACTCCTTCCCCCCACCTGACATACTATCCTGGAACCAACCAGCATCCAATACTATATCCCCTTATCAAATAACCCCTCCAAATAAAAATATGTTTCCTAATTATGTTTAATTACTCTACTAGAGATATAAACTAAAAAAAAAATAATTGTAGAGATTTTCAAAGTATAGGCAATATAGAAAAATCCTATCAATTTGACCTAAGTATTAGAAATTGTTGTGCTTGGTTATATATCTTAAAATTTTGAAGTATGTTAGCAAATTTAACAGAAATCAGTGCTTCATAACAATTCCCATAAGTAAGCGATTTTAAGTTTATTTTTTTTATTATTTGGCTGTACAACAACATGCTAGCTTGTATAGCTAGTATACTGGGTGGGTATCAGACAAAATGTAAAGTAGTAATGAGAATTGTATGTTGTAAGTTTATTTGGTCCAGTAGTGTCACCTACAGGCTGCAGTAGGAATAGGGAGAAAGTTTGTTGTACTGCTTAAAATGAAATTATATTTACTAATATCCAATTGTAAGTATATCTGTGCAGGGGAACAACATGTTTATTATGAATAAAAAGCACATTGGGACTTATTTACTAACGTTTATCAACCAGTACCTCAGTATTATTTTAAGATCAATGTGTACAGTGGGGAAATTTTTAGAAATAATTAACCTATTAATTACTCTTTTGTAATTCCACATATTATAATCTATAAGAATTTTATGGTATTTCATCTTTTTAAAGGGTTACTCCAATGTCCATGACCACTTATGCATTTAGAAGTGGTCATGATAGAAGGAAACTATATGCACAGTCTATACCTGAAAGGCTGCACATACAGAGATTTTCATACTTTTGTGCTGGGGGCTAGCTGTACCTCTAGCACATATAACATAAGGTGGACTTCTTAATGTTAATTCTGTGCAAAAATTAGGTCTGTCACAGTGAGTACTACGCACTGTTGAGAGACGTGATAAGCTCCTTTGCAGACAGCTCTGGGAGCTTGAATCTCCACTCCCTCTCATTTGAGCCCTCTCTGGCTCACTATATTTCTTATATTTTGTAAAAACAAATTTCCATTGCACACTGCCTCCCTTCCTACACTGGCTTAGAGCACACACATGCTCTTTGAGTGGTGAAAATGGTCCAATTGAATGTTCCTCTTTGAGATTGATGCGACATGACGTCGGGAAATTATTGAGGAGAGCGTCACCTGGTGCTGGATTCATGGTAAGATAAAATGTAATTACATATTTTTCTGGTTAAAAAAGGGGGAAGAACATAATAAGTAGTGCCCAAGTCAAGAGGACATTAGAACTTGAAAAATATATACATTGTAAAAAAAGGCTATTGTAACTCTTTAACAATGCTGCCAGGTCTGTTCTTAAGAAGCCATTGGCAGATGTTTTAGAAACAGAACATCACTAAATGACAGAATTGTTTTAGCAGAATATGTGGTTGACTGGAGCAGGTTTGGCAATAGGATGAATGAAGGAAGAGAAATATGAGTACTCAGGGCAAGCCAGAGGATCACGAGGGCAGCTGCGGATATTGCATAAGGACAGGAGAAGTTGGTATATGGAATGCAGGAGCAGGTAATCTGAGACAAACAGGAAACATCATATCAAATACTAGGTTACAGACAAATATCTGAATCTAAGATTACATGCAGAGACACCAAAGACTATTCGCAAGGACAGCACAAGGTTTTTAAGAATTCCAAGAAGAGATATTCTTATATATGAAGGGTTGCCACAATCAGAACTTGAGATTGTTGCATCCAAGATCCTTGAAAGAATTGTGTATGCGAGATTGACAGACTTCCTTGTGTCTAACTCTCTCTGCTAGACCCGCTTCAGTCTGGTTTCCGCGCTAAGCACTCTGTGGAAATGGCACTGACCAAAGTATCCAATGATCTACTCACTGCAAAATCTCGTGGTCACTACTCTATCCTAATTCTCCTTGACCTGTCTGCAGCTTTTGACACTGTTGAACATCAACAGCTTCTTCTCATCCTCCGCAATATCGGTCTACAAGATATTGCTCTCTCCTGGTGCTCTTCCTACCTCTCCCAGCGCTCTTTCAGTTTTTCTTTCTCTGGCTCTGCTTCTTCTCCCCAACTCCTCTCTGTTGGTGTCCCTCAAGGTTCAGTCCTTGGTCCCCTACTCCATCTATACTGCCTCCCTTGGTAAACTCATTAGCTCCTTTGGCTTCCAATATCAATATCATTTCTACCTGTCCTCTCCTGATCTCTCCCCGTCCCTCTTGACTAGTGTCTCTGACTGCCTCTCTGCTATTTTTAACTGGATGGCTGCCCACTACCTTAAACTAAACTTGACCAAAACTGAAATTCTGGTCTTTCCTCCCTCAAGTGTTGTTACTCTTGTGTCTGTCTCCCTCCAAGTCAACGGTGCTACCATCAGCTCCACCATGCAGGCTCGCTGCCTAGGTGTTCTCTTTGACTCTGACCTCTCCTTCAAGCCTCATGTTCAATTTATCGCCAAATACCGTCATTTCCATCTCAAAAACATTGCGCGCATCCGCCCCTACTTAACGCCAGATGCGACTAAGGTCTTGCGTGCTCCCAACTTGCGCCGTTACAGTCCATAATGAATGCGGCGGCAAGGCTCATCTTCCTGTCCGCCCGCACCTCCCATGCCTCACCCTTCTGTCAGTCCCTACATTGGCTTCCTATAAAATATAGAGCTCAATTTAAAATTCTGGTTCTTGCTTTCAAATCACTACTTAATGCTGCTCCCACCTATCTATCCTCCCTTTTACATAAGTATGTCCCATCTAGGCCCTTACGATCTGCTGAAGACTTACGTCTATCTTCTGTCCGTACTCCCA